TCAAGTTACACAATAAGTCCTTATTGTGGACTCCTTCTTCTTCTTAGGATAAATACTTTCCTTTATCTATTGTAACAGACCGATGGGTCGTGTTCTAATGACCTCTCATCGCATGATGCTACGCGTAGGCTCAGGTCTTTTAGAGTTAAATTCCAAAATGGAATATACCTTCCTTTATATTCTAATGCGATATAACCACATTTTAACATGTAGCATTTCCAGCTACAAACTTCATTAATAACGAGCGTGTTACCAATGATCGCATTGATTTCAATCTTCTGACTTCAGTCAAATGCTACATCGAACTCGGTTCTCGGAACTACGTAACAAACTCGTCGTAGTCGGACTCAATTTGATATGACCACTAGGGTCGGAATGACAACCATCTCACTAATCATTACCGAAACAAGGGTAATGACATACTCGAATAAAACGAAATCAATCACCAGCTTCTTGGTAACCTTGTGACTTTCCCTGATCCAAGTGCGAGTCCTGTGCTTCCGGTAGTATAGGCCTCTACTACCATTCACACCAATCATAAGTCCCAAAAGTATTGTCCCCAGTCCCCAAGTCCAAAATCACAAAAAAATTAACACATATGAATGTGTCCATAATCATATAAGTTTCTAGAGAGACTAGGATTCCTCCCATTGGTATCTCAAGTCATCAATCCTGCTTCAACTGGTTTGTGGGGGAAAGTTGATCCGGGGACAACTTCATGAATAAAAAATATTCCATTATCTGCCAATCGAAGGTGTACTTCAGACGTACCGACTCTTCTAAAAGTACTGCTTGACATATACTAACGACAAGACACCACTCTTACGAATCTTCCGATAGGTGTCACGCGATCATAAGTCGTTTTTTTCATTCCTCCATTAACTCAACTCTCTATGAGTTTTCATCATGACGTTATTTTCACTAAGCAGCATTCCTTGGCACAAGACAAAATATGAGAGAGAAGATTAGACGCGTAATCCTCCTTATTACTCCGAAAAGTTATATGTCAGTTCTAATATCGTAATTAAACGTTTAGAAACCTAAGCACATAAAATTTCCAGATCCGGTCGGCAACAGAACATAGATCCGAACAAATAATATCACATATGGAAATCATATAACATTTAGCACATAAAAGCATTTTAGGCATCTTTCCTAAAATATACTAGTGCTCGTGTCTAAAATATGGTAGACACTCATCTCACAATCATCACTTAACATTCTAAGTTTAAGTCTAGAAATCCTACAAATTCCTAGTTCGCTTAAACTAATGCTCTGATACAAACTGTGACATCCCCAATTTTCTCGGCCAGAAAAGACCGATTCGTTTATGCTTTGTTTTATAAACCAGAGTAATCTTTTAAAGAAAACGGTTGCGGAATTTGTTCCCAAATAAGATATGATAAAAAAATTTATCAAAACATTTCTCAAAGAGAATGTACTTTTCATTAAATAATAAAATCTCGGAATGTCATGTTCCGATACAGACCAAAAGCATAAACAGTACCATATAGGCCTTACAACATTTATTTATATCTAATGGCCTATAATCCAAAATCTCTCGTCAAGTCCACCAACTTATACTCTTGTGCCATTACCTGTAATGCAAAGAAAACTGAGTGGGTCAGGCTTGGGAGCCTGGTGAGCATATAGGGTTTTCGACCCACAATAATATAATTATTATATTCAATCATCAATCAATCAATCAATCAATCAAAATTACTCATTCCCATTATCTCCTTTATTTCTTAAGGATTTACCCTAAGCATCAACTATCCTTTATCCTTTATTCCAAGGATTGCCCTAAGGAATTGACACAAAATCCACCACTGCCAAGGTCCTCAAATTACAACCGGTAAACACTTAGTTCAACATACTTAACGAACACCTAGTTCTAACACTCCTAGTGAACGCTTAATTCAAAACATCTGGTGAATACTTAGTTCTAAAACACTTAGTGAACACACTCAGTTCAACAACACCAAGTGAACACATCTAGTTCAAAAATACTTAACGAACACATTAAGTTCAAAAATACCAAGTGAACACATGGAGTTCAAAGATACCTAGTAAAACACTTAGGCAATTACCTACGGATTACCTACGGATTTATTTGTATTTTTCATTTTCGAAAGGTTAAATGTCGTTCTTTTCGCTTCATTTTTTTCACAACATTATTATACATTGATTATTTTGTTTTTCACAAAGTATACATCATATAAACGTACATACATCCCTGTACACCATTTTATACATACACATACACAAAAATGATTAAACTTGAAATGAGTAATGAGTTTCGAGTGTGTACATGGATGTATGCATATTAATATGATGTATAACTTGGAGAAAACAAAGTAATCAATATATAATAATGTTGTGAAAAAATTTATCAAAAAAAAGACATTTGATACATTCGAAAATGAAAAATACAAAAAAAAAATCCATGGATAATCTATAGGTAATTACCTAGTGCTTCCTTGTATTTTTCACTTTCGAATGGTTAAATGTCGTTTTTTTCGCTTCATTTTTTTCATAACATTCTTATACATTGATGAATAACACTAATAAAAAAAAAGAGAAATGAAAAATAGTTTACTACGAATAATTAAAAAGTTCCACTTTTTTTCATGTCCGTAGGTAATATGTAGTTAATTGCCTACAAAATCCTACAATACTTACAAGTCGATTAAAATATTGGGGTTTTTCAATTTTCCGTCGCTATGCCGTAGGTAAATTCCTACGGAATAACTACAGAATTCTAATTTAGAATATAATATTATTATTTGTAGGTAATCTGTAGGTGATTATCAACGGATTACCTACATAAATTATTTTTGTTGCTAATATGTAGGTAGTTTGTAGGTGATTTAGGGCAAATATTTTAGTGGTTATTCCGTAGGAATTTCGTATGTAATTAACAACAGATTTTATTCCGTAGGTGATTTTTGTAGGTAAATAAGAATTTTCTAGTAGTGAGAAAGATTATATGTTAAATAAAGGTTGTCAAAAGATTTTGATAAATAATTTTTTTAAATGACAAATCGAATCTACTTCTATTCTACTCCTAATATAACATATGTCTCAAATGAAATTTGAACCTTCGACCTAATAGAATAAAACATCCACACTGATAAAGTTTTCATTCAAACGTCAACAAATCCAAAAAGCTTACCATATGCCCACTATAGTAAAAAAAATCATAATGGTTATTTGTGGATCCCATTACCAAGCTATTAGTTATATTATACATGTTTTATATACTAAAAAAACATATTAAAACGTTGAAAAATTAGAATAACTACAAAAGTTTATTGAAAATGTTTATCACACCATCTGATAATGATCTTCACGGAGGCTCGTGGTGGCCATGATGACAACGAGCACGACCGTGCACATCATCCTAGTGGCTTCGTTGTCATCGTGTTCGTGGTGATTTTGTGATGTAAATACGAGTGACCATGCACAATGATGATCTTCTTCTCTCTATTCTTTCTTTTCTATCTTCATTGTGGAGAGTACCCTCCACTATATGTGGCGATTTGTGGTTGTGGTCTTTGGTGAGTCGAAGGAAACCTCGACCATAGCTGTGGTTACAATTCCAAAATGGCCTAAATGAAAAATGCCCCACAATAGAATATAATACTATTAGTTTTTTTTTTTCAAAATGTTTTAAGAAATTTATTATTAAAGTGATTGTTCAAATGATGTATTTGTTAAAGTTAGTTAGAAGCTAGAAGTTGTAGGTTTTATTTATATAGATCGCAAAAATAGTTATGAACTTTTAAAAGATACTAAATAATATAAAATACAAAATGTAAAAGTTAAAACTCCTAACAAAGACTGCTTGAGGTAGTTTTGCTCTTTTGAATTTGAATTTTTTTTATAAACTAAAAGCTTTAAAATAATACATTCGAAAAAGTTTTTTTTTAACTCGAATTATTTTAAAAACTTAAAATGCTGATCGTCAAACACATCTTAATTCTTTAAGGTTAATAATTGAAAATTTTAGAAGCTTAAAGGCATCATCAATTGTTAAACTTTCAAATAATTATTATTTTTGACATATGAGATTTCTATTAATCTTTGTTAGATAAAAACTTATTCTAAAAAAATATTCTAATAGATAAACCATTACAAAAGATTTATTTTACAAAACAAATTTATCCTTTTTATCTTCAATATTTATACAAACCTTTCATCTAATATGTTATTTTTAAACAAATGTATTGTTATTTATTTTCAAATAGGAAGTTTTTTTTTCTTTAATTTAATATAGTTCAATATATATCGATGGAAGACAAACGGGCAACAAACTGCGCCCTTAGCTCTTTCTGGATGGCAAAATACTACTTCATAATAAATAATTATTATTTTATGTCGTATTAAACATAGGCTAAGCTTTATTTTGAATAACAAAATTCGTTTTTTTTATAATGTTTACAAAATTCTACCATCTAGCTTGTTATTTTTAAATATATGATATATTTCTTAAATTAATATTATTTTATTGATGATAAAATTATTTATCAAATAATTTTATTTATTTTTTATCATATATTTAGTAAAATATATTAACGAATAAAAAAATTAAAACATTTAATATATAAATACAACTTGAGATTTAAAATAAAATTTACTTAGTACGGATTATGCAGCATACATAACATAAAAAAAAAAAATTAAATTGTTTTAGGAATAATTTACACTAAAATGTCAAAATCCTCATCCCTCCAATGTTTAAAAAAAAAATATATTTTCAAAGGAAAGTGGTTTCCGAATATTTAATTTCTCTTTCAAATATTTAAAAAGATTTTATCCACAAAATATTTCAATTAACCACAATGTCTAATTTACACAGGTCAAACTAATCCTTCACCTTCTCTTTTTCTCGCTCGTATTCATATATTGATATATTCACATTCATATTCATAGATCATACGTTCATCTTCATATTCATCATCTTCTTCATCTTCATCTTCATCTGCGGGTGTTCATTCATGGCTCAACTCCCATCCAACCAACAAGTCAACCAATTAAAAGAAATCTTCACCCGCTTTGACCTAGATTCCGACGGCAGCCTCACCCATCTCGAACTCGCCGCCCTCTTCCGCTCCGTCGGCCTCAAACCAGGCGACGAAATCGACACCCTGATAGCCAAATTAGACGCCAATGGGAACGGATCCATTGAATTTGAAGAACTAGTGAACGCCATTTTTCCCGATTCCGATGAAGAGATTTTCATCGACCAAGAACAACTCATGAAAGCCTTCCGATTGTTCGATAAAGATGGCGATGGGTCCATTACTCCTATCAAACTCGCAACCCAGATGGCGAAATTGGGCCACCCATTAACTTACCGGGAACTTAATGACCTGATGAATGATATTGACACCGACGGCGATGGTAGCATCAGTTTTCATGAATTTACGGCGGTGTTTGGGATGCCGGCGTCGGAATTCTTTGGAATAAGAACGCTTTAACGATGGTGATTGCCGTTTGTGGTCATCCATATGCAGTTTCCAGTTTCCAAAGCATGTGGTTGTTCTTGAGGATTGACGATGAACATGGATGAATTTACATGACTCTTTTTATATTCTTAAAATTTTCTTTTTGTACATAGTTATTTTTGCTTATTTTTGTATATAAGTTGTGTGTGTATCATTGAAGGAGAAGAATGAAATGCAAGGAGAATTCGCATTAAATAAACGCCTTTTCTTTATGTTTTCTTTTTCTTCTATGTGTTCGTGGGTCAAACGAAAAAAAATCTAAATACCACATATTTATTTATTATATTTATTTATTAGTTCTTATTCTCTCTTCTATTAATAAATACATATATATATATTTTTTTTATTTTTTTAAATCTAATACAATACACCGGTTCAATGTCGACCCACAAATTATTTGCAAACCCATTGGTAATTTTATAGTTAAACGGGCTGCTTATGATGAACTCTCACAAGTTAACCCATACCCATTGGAATTTTTATAATCAAATGGGCTGCACTGCTTAAAGAATAAAGCCCATTTATAAGAAAGAAGAACAGAAGAAACATACATAAAACATAAACTTCAAGGTCATAAAACCTTAATTTTGTCTTCGATCTATACACAATTGCTCTAATTTACAACAAAACTTTATCCTCTAAAACCTTAGAAATCGATAGACGATCATCACGTCATCATACATCAACAATTAAAGAATAAAAATTGGTCGAAAAGACAACCACTACTACCAAAATAATTTCTGTACATTACGGTCGATCCGTGTCCCATCTTTTACATCAGATTCAGTCCAATGCATGTCAAACACAGTATAACAATCTGTTACATCTCGCAGAACAAACGGGGCCCACACAACGCCACCTATGCGAGATCATGATTTGGACGCTTGTCGCTCCAAATTCAAATGATACAAATCATTGTCCCTTGCTATCGATCGAGCCGTGAACCCAACCGTTGTGGTCCGGATCGACCGCTGGCGGACCATGTTAACATACTCCGGATCATCGGTATGCCCTTCGTATCTTATCCATTGGATCATTCCATGGTAAGCCGGGAAGAATCTCATTTGAACCGCTTTGTAACAATAGTAAGGAATCAAGGCGGCAATCACCACATAAAAAGTCACAAACCAATACGAAGGTGCGGGCGCGAGTGTTTCTAGAAACACATTGTACGCGGTTGTTGAAATGGTGGTCGGCATCGCACCGTAAGCCAGGAGGAAGAGATACCAGAGGATAATTCCTCCCCAGATGAACACATGTTGGATTAACGTGAAGTAGCTAACCGCAAGCGCCATCTGGCAGTTGACTACCCATACGACACACGTGTAGATTGTGGCCCCCACAACTTCCATGCCAGCTGTCTTCCCGTTCTTTCGGTATGACTCGGGGTCTAACGCGCGTGTACATAGGAAAAAGACGATTATGCCACTGGCTAAGCCGTTAAGCATCCACCCGAATATTCTACGCCATCTAAAGAGCGTGTTTTGGACACCTTCTTGGTATAGCAACGGGAACTGTCGTATGGAAAAAAAACACAAAATTAGATACCGGTTATTGTGAAATGACTATAATGCCCTTTTGTTTCTAGACGTTTAAGACGGTTACAAGGGCAATTTGGGCATACCTTTAGGCAAAATCTTGCGGATACGTCTTGGTCAAAGACGCCTAATGCAATGGCGGGAAGTGATGTGAAGAAAACGTTGTAAAGAGACAAATACCAATCGTTATATGCGGGTTGACCCGAGAACGATGCGTAAGCTTCATATAAGAACACCGTGGTTCCAAATACGATATTTTTATAGAAAAAGTAGCATATCTGCAAAATTATATAAAAAATTAAAAAAGGTGTCATTCGATTATACTATCGTGAAGACAAAAGGGGCCTACAATTCGATTATAAAAAAATAATAAAAAGATTCTTACCATTGAAGAAATTCTTCGATAACACCAATGTCCATGCACCCAATAGCAATCTTTCAAGAAACCGAAATTGAGCAATTGCAATATCACTCGACATAACCGCCTGTATAACAAAACAAACCCAAAATTATTTACAAAAATCGAAAGTATAATTAACATGAAATAAATATAATCCCAATTCCCAAGTACCTGCATTCCCTCGACACCACTGATTCCGATTCCGATGTCGGCTTCTTGAAGCATTCCGACATCATTCGCCCCATCACCAATTGCCAAAGTCGTCTTTCCAGTTCCCTCTTTCACAAGTCTAGTAACCAAAGCTTTCTGTTTTGGTGAAGATCTACAACAAATAACAGACGCACACCCAACAGCAAGATCCAAAAACGTGTTTTTAATGTCATCATGTAACGCGTATGCGAGAGATTTCCCATCAATAATTAGAGCGTATGGATCGGATGATGAAGAAGAAAGTTGAGCTTTTCCTGCTAATATCTGCTTCTTCACATTTTCTTTTGAGATCTGAAAGGGCAAAATCGTCATTTTCACTGTAAAAAGTAGTGAAGATAGCAAGGGATGTAGAAAGACGGACGTCCAATTTACCTTTGAAATTACGTCTTTGTCCCCGGCTTTTTCGGCTGATATTCGGGGGATTCTAAGGTGATTATAATTTGTTTCATTCCTTGTCTAAGCAAACTACAAGCGAATCTGAAAAATGTTTGGTATTTAAACGTTAGATTTTAAATTTAAAAAAAAAAGTAAATTATTTAAAGTGGTAAATTAAGCTTTAAAAAAAGACGAAAACTTACCCGATATTGATTGCTGTTTCCATTTTGTCACCAGTAAGAACCCAAATCTTGATTCCTGCTTGAGCAAGTTTATCAATGCATTCCGGCACCTTTAAACAAAAGAACACAATTAAAACCAAATTTTAAGATAAAAAAAACGGTGTATAAACTATAAAGTTCTTGAATTAAAAATAAAAAATATAATAAAAAAAAACTCACCCCTTTTTGGAGTTTGTCCTCAACAGCAGTAGCACCAAGAAGAATCAAATCTTTTTCAATTTCTTCGGTTGTTGCATCAATCAAATCTTCTCGATCTTCACTTACAGAGTTTTTAGCTTCTATAAATTTTTCATTAAAGTCTTTATATTCTTCTTCATTAAGTTCACGATATGCAAGAATCAAAGTTCTTAATCCTGCATCTGCATACTCATTCACATGTTCTTTTGTATTTTCCTCAAATTGTCTCCCGTTTTTCGCAAGTCTATCAAACATAACACTGTAAAAAAAACGATAATCACAAGGTTAATAACTATTTTAAAAAAAAAAATCAAGATTGATTTATTTTGAATAGTTTTCTTCTTACCTATCTGCACCTTTACAGAGTAAAAGAAGCTTCCCGAATTCATCACGAACAATAACAGACATTCTTTTTCTTGCACTGTTGAACTCAAGAACATTTAAAAGCTCATATGTCCTGCAAATAAACAATACAAAGATTTATTGATTTACAGTTTTTTAGAACTTTTTCAAGATTTGATACCAAAATTTACCCAAAAGGGTAAAAGGAAGAAAATAAAAATATTACCTTTCGACTTTTTTCTTAGACATAGGATCTAACTCCATAAAAGAAACAGTTGTTTGTGTCCTTTTATAAAATTCAAACCCAAGTTCTCTTGCAGCTATAACAAAAGCAGCTTCATCAGGGGATTCAGCTTCATAAGTAACTCTCCCTGTTTCTTCATCAACATCAGGAATCGCTGTATGACAAATCGCAAGTAATCTAAAGAACTTCTGAATAACATCAGAACGTGGTTCAAGAAGCCAATAACCATTCACGATCCTTTCATCTTCAAAATTATACCCTTTTACAGATAACCCAGAATCATCGTCTTCATCATCATTATCGTCATCAAGAACTCTTCCATTAACAACCAATGGCGATCCTGTCTTTTTCGCCATAGCTCTTTCAACTTCTGTAACACCACGTCCGTATGCTGTTCCTGCTATCGAACACTTGATGAACTCCATTGAATTGCAGGTTAAAGTCCCGGTTTTGTCTGATAAAATCGTGTCGATTTGGCCGAGTTCTTCGGTGATATTTGAAGTTCGCGCGTGTGCGGGTTTATCAGCTTCTTCGTAGTACATATGAATGTCGTTGTTGATGAAAATCGTCTGTAGAACTTTCACGATTTCTATTGAAACGTATAGAGAAATCGGGATTAAATATGTGTATAACAATAAAGCTGTGAGAAAATGGTACATCGCTGCAGCTGGAGCCCGTTTCGGGTCGAAAAAAATCTCCGAAGCGTCAGGTCTCAAATACCATCGTTTCATTCTGTCACCATCTAAATCGTTCTTTGTAACAATCCCGAAGTAAATCGAACCCAGAAAAGCGATTAGAAACAAGATGAAGAACAAGAAATAGATGATGTTATCCATTCGTTTTTCAATCCCACTTCTTTTCGATGGTGGGTCTGTAGAGTTTTGAATCACTTTCGTATCGTGACCAGTGAAGATGACGACGCCATAGATGTAATCTGTGTTTCTGAGCTTTGAATCGCGTAGAAGAAGTTGTTGTGGTGAAAGTGCGTACTGTTGTTCTTGAAACTCCATTGTTCCAACGAAAGTGTAGAGACTTGCGTTTGGATCTTCGCATTTGACTGTTGCTTTGAAGCTGTTGATGTTTGAATCGTCGTTGATCATGGAAGTTGCGTCTAGCGATTGTTTTAGCTTCAAATTTGTTTCTCCATCTAAGTTCATCGTTTCAACGTAACAAACAGCATCTTCATAACTCGATGAAATTAACAGAAGATCAGCAGGAAAGAATTCGTCTTTTTCGACTTTCACTACATCCCCTACTCTCAGTGTTTTCCATTCTCGAGATTCGAAAACTCCACCACCACGATGAACTTTCACCTTTCGATTATTCACCTCATGGTCCTGAAAAAAGGTTCGATACACAAAAACGAATCAAAACCCACAAAAAACCAAAGATTCAAACTCCAAAATGAGCTGGATCTGACATGAATCGAAGAAAATTGGGAATATCAACATATGAATATATGAACATACCTGCTGTTGTCGTTGCCAATCTTCAATACCTTCTTTCACCATGGTAGCACCAATGACGACGATTAAAGGAAGAATAGCGCTAACAGCTGAATAAGGAGCTAGAGCTGTAAAAGACAAGATACCAGTAACAAGAAAGTAGAAATTTGCGACTCTTCTAAACTGTTCAAACAGTGATTTTGGTATAAAAGTCATTGGCGTATATTTGGTTGATCTCACATAATTATCTACATAAGTTTGAGTTGCAGCTTCTGAAACACCAGTTTCATTGCAATAAACCACTCTCGAAAACCCAGGACCCCCAATTTGTGAATGATCATCGTCGAATCTGTTTCTTCCACACTTGAAGGAGTAGATCTTGCTAAAATGTAACCTCCTTTTCCTTCCTGTCCCCATTTTTTTTCTACTTATGTTCTATGATATGAAGAAGAAGAAAAAAAAAAACTCCAGAGTTCTCTTTCAAGAAACCTTGTTTTTACAGATACCCAGATGAGGAATCCCTCAAAAAACAACAAGAATTGGTGGTTTACTCACCTCCCAAGTGGAATTAATTAATGGGTTCAAGCAGAAAAGCTCAAAACCCCAGTAATTAAATAACCTAATCAAGAACTTATCAAAGTGTACTACAAATTCGTGAAAGTTACTTGACAATCTATAAATTGTTTGTGTCACGAAAACAAAGAGAAAGAACAAATGAATAAAGGGTTTTCTTTTTCAATAATGGGAGCTAAATCCAAAGTCTATATATATTTGGCATGATTGAAGAACAAGAAAAGGAAAATGTAAGGAAGAAGGTGGTTGTATAATTTGATTTATTCTTAGAGCTCGAAAGGTTTGACCGAAGAATCAAACCATGGATCTCTTTCTGTGTCGCTTTCATGTTTTGACTTTAATAAGGCGAAGATGTTGATTAAAGAAAATTTCAATTTTTTTCCAACTAACACACAATAATCAAACCAAGAACAATTAATAAAATATAATTTCGATTCAATTTGATTATAATTCACAAAAAGGGGAGAGGAAGGTTCTAAAGAACCGAAATTTAAAGAAATACAGAGTGTTCAAACTTCAAAGAGGGGTTTTTTCTGTTTTTCGAATTAATTTCAACAATTCACACACTCATATAATATTAATTTAATAATTGAAAAGAATATTCCGGTAGAAATCTATACCTATTGCGTGAGAAGTGTCTCCTGTTTTCCCCCTTTTTGTATTTTGTAAAAGAAGCTTCAAAGAAGAACAGACAGGTGGATCTTTAAGTTATGTACATATGTTTGTTTTTTGTCAGACTGATATTGATGAATTGTAGTACTTGTAATTTATGCATTAAATGTTGTATTAATAACTAAAAATGACTTTTAATTCTATATAAATAGGTAGTTATTGTAAATGGGTATGGAAATTATTGTAAATATGTGTAAACATTTCTCCATGAGAAAACAAACCTAATGTTCTAGATGCCTTCCTTTTTTTGCCATTTCAAGGAATTCTTGATTTTGGTATTTCCTAAAATATACTTTCTTGTTTCTGTTTGAGATATTGATTTCAATGAGAAAGCAAACCATTTATGTAGGTGAACCTTGTCGTGTTGTCCAGATTTAACAAATGTAAAACTTGATTATTAGTTAGTAATATAAATTATATTAGAAAATTACATGAAATAATCCATCTTCATTAGAAGAAAATTACAAATATATTAGAGCACATTTCCGTTTATATTAAGATTATCTTTTAGCATACCAAAAATCATGAAGTGTCACACTAAAGATAATATTTTCTAGATACGGTTCTAGTGTTAGGTTTACAACAGTAAAGAAGCTACAACCTTATATAAAATAAAGATGGTCATCGGTCAACACAAACTATATTGACAAAAAAAATTTAAAAACTCTTAGGTATGGATTAGCTACACATGACTCGTGTATCTATTTTTTTTTATTATGTTTGTTAATCAAGGTTCAAAAAAAACTAGTAAGGGTTTTGTTATGATGCGTCATGTCTACAAACTTTATATCAGTTGCCAGATTTTAACAAAATATCATCTACAAACTTTATATCAGTTGCCAGATTTTAACAAAAAAAAAAAAAAATATATATATATATATATATATATATATATATATATATATATGAATTATAGTAGAAAAAATATATATATAATTATTAATTATATAGAAAATTGTGGCTTTAAGTCACATCATACAAACGACATTATTCTTCACGGCTCGTAAGGTTTGACATTGCTGCTAAGTCACACTTAACGATATTTAAAACATTGTTGTTAATATAAGTGGCAACTCACTTCTCGTTTTTTGTGTTATAAGTGATATTAGGCGATAGGTTTATGTAAACATGAGTTATATGATATTGATCTTAGAAATTGTTTATTATATTATATATTATATATATATATATTATATCTATATATATTATATATATATATTATATATATATAGAGATATATATATATCTATATTAAGGGTTCAATTGATAAAAAAAAGGTTGAATGGGGGATCATTCCCAGTCCACTCATTTATTTGTGCCACAAAAGCCTCCGTCGTACCAGCGGAAATGGGAACTGAATGGACATGTGTTTCCAACAAACATATTTCCTTAAACTATGCTAATCATTACCTAATATATACAAAACCTAGTTTTTTTTTCGTTTTTTAATTTTAAGAAGCTATTTTATCGAAAAATGATTTTAAATATACCAAAATTCATGGTTTTTTATTCTCTACAAATAGACATCCATATTGATATAGTTTTAAGATAAAATAAAAAATTTATTTTTTTTATATTTTCAGCTATCGTTATTTATAAGTGAATAAAAATGCATCAGGTTTAATTACAGTACATTCGTTATTCACTGATGAATAAAAAGTATGATTAATTTTTTTTACAATTTAAGTATCATTCATATATGAATATAGCATATAATAACATAGTATATTCATATTTAATATATTAGACGATGCATTCACTTGTGAATATTAACATAGTATATTCACTTGTGAATATTAGATGATATATTCACTATGAATATTAAATGATATTTTCATATGTGAATATAACATAGTATTACATGGTAGATCACATGTGAATATTACATAGTATATTCACTTGTGAATATTAATGATATATTCACTTATGAATATTACACAGTATATTCACATATGAATATTACAAGGTATATTCACTTGTGAATATATTCACTTATGAATATTAGAAGGTATTTTCACAAATATATATAATTTTCATATGTTATTCACATATGAATAACATACAGACTTGCATATTTGTTTTATGTTTTTAATAATCATATACTGATTCATGTGAGAAAACATATTCATATGTGAATATAACGTGGTAATTTAGTTTATGCATTTCATCAAACAGTTGGAGTGCATACAATTTTAACTATTTTAAAAATGTTAAAACATGATACTTCCAATTCAAGTTATCAATTCCAAATCATCATATACTTCCGATTTCGACTCAGATGCGACATCCTATGTCTGATCGATTTCTCATTTTGATTTTGATTTCTGAAAATCCGATTGGGAACCTGTGAGTACCGATTCCGAGTCCTTCAATGTCGACTGTGACTGCGTGTCTTGAACTCCGATTCTAATTTCATGAACAGCAAAGAAATTCTGATTCCAACTCAGTTCGTTTGCGAATCTGGGAAATTCCAGTTCCAAATCCGTTATGAACTTTAACAGATGCTTGTAAGCTACGAACATTCGGAGTATTCAACAAAGAAATCGATGAAATTGATGAATTTGGGTTGCACATCTGTCTTGAACGGCGAACCTCCCAACCACGAATATTGATGATTGATTAACACTGGATGACATTGATGATAGATTAGTTGAAAAAATCTGGATGATTGTTGAAGGTTGGAGGAGAAATTTTGATGATAAACGAACTGTTATCGAATTCTCTATAGTTACGTATTTGACATTGAAGGTTATTAACATATTTACAAGTTTGTCACCGTGTCTTTTTATGCTTAGTTAAATGAGGGTGCTGAACTGATTCCCCCATTCTCAAACTTTTTTATTTTCTCAATTGAACTTACCTCTCTCTCTCCTCTCTATATATATATAATCTATATATATATATATAATATATATATATATATATTATATAGAGAGAGAGAGAGAGAGAGAGAGAGAGAGTGAGTGAGAGTTAGGTTCAAATGTTTCCAATAAGTATTGTGTGCATCTACGGACCCACCAAAATTAAGAATAATTTATAGTTATAAATAATAAAAGGGTATGATAGTAATCTAACACTATCTAATTACAGTAGATATTCTAAAACATTTAATATCTCCTAAAAATAGGGAAATCAGTTTAAAAATCCTTTTACGCGTTTTTTCATCTCAGTAACCCTAACCCCTCGTCTTTTTCTTTCTTTGATCTGTAGACGACCTTCCTCCTCTCTATCCCGCTGCTAATTACTTTGCCGGATACCAACGACGCCTACGTGTGATACCTTCATCCACCAATGTCGCCCACCTCCAGTCCATCTCTTAACTATCACCGATGCCATCTTCCATCTTCATTCAGGCCGTCTATTATCACCGATGCCGACTCGGGTGACTTTCTCAATTATCTTTTGTTTTTAGTTTAGTATTCGAAGGTTATTGATTTGCGTATTTAGGGTTTGCATTGTTATTTGATTACGTATGATGTATTTTTGCTCAATTTCTTATGCAAATTTACTTTAGCAATTATTGTTTGATAAATCATTTTTTTTCGATTGTGCAAATTTTGTAAATCGGATTCAATTGACAATTGTTTATTATTATAAAGCCCCATTAATTTGGAATTGATGAATTCGATTTTTGTTTTGAAGGTTTGCTTTTATGGGTGTAAGTTATCTGTGTCATATGTGTTTTCAATATGTGTTGCATACAATTGTTATTATCGATTCTAATTGTCAAAAATTTGTATATATAAATTAAAATTGAAGTGGGTGAAATATAGCAAGAACTTAAGTGTTATACAATCTGATGACGAATGTTCGAGAGGTTAATTAGCAATGCTTATTACTATTATTCAAGTTATTTTTTGTTGTTATATGTGTTCTTTTTTCTATTGATGTAATTATAGTGTATTTTTTCATATAAATCCAAAAAGAAAGGATATACGAGTTCACCCATTGCTAACATATGTGCAAAACGACATATTTTTCATAGTTTATTATTATTATGTATTCATGAATGTTTTATAGGTTAGCAATGTTTATTACTATCATATATGTTTTTCACATAATGATCTTATTATTTTCGCAGGTCATGAACAAAAGATAAACGCTTCTAATTCTAATGACAGTCATTCTGAAAGAATTTGATTTCATGACAATTATTCTGTCAGAATGTATAAAATGATTCTTAGCAATAATATTCTTATAGAATGAATTAGTATTTTTTTTTTGATTTTGTTGTTTTTTTTCCTTTTTTTACCATTCTTTGTTTTGATCATTAAGAGTTTATTCGATGTATTATGTGAGAATGTATTATATGTATTCTGCAAGATTGTATTCTATATATTCTACCAGAATGTATTATATATTCTGCCAGAATGTATTCTATGTATTCTGTCATAATGTATAAATTGATAGGAATTGCAAGTAACATGTTTTTAATCATTCTTAGTTTTTGTTGCATTTGTGATAGAAATGGTCGGAAGAATGGCTTGAAGACTTGATAAGAATGACTTGAAGAATGAATCAGAGATTGATCACACTCACAGTTTAAGAATGTTGTTATTTTTTAGGAATTACATTTGTATTTGTTCATTAATTGTATATTTAAGAATGCTGATTTTTTATGATATTCGTTAAAATATGCATAAATATATTAAAATGTATAAGGCTATTAGTATGTAAGAATATGTATAAATTTGTATTTAAGTTCAAATGCATATGAAAATATTAAAATGTTGTTATTCTTGAACCGGGAGTTCAAGAATTATGTTATTCTTCATTAATATTTTAATAGAATAAAACTCTGAAAGAACATCATTCTTACAAAAAAACATTCTGACCGAATAAAATTGGTTATGTTTACAAATTACGTTAGAATTAAAATTGAATTAATTAAAAAAATTCAGATTTTTTAAATTAGGAAAATTAATTATCCACAAAAATCCGAAATTTCTTTATATAAATGTAGTTAATTGTCCAAAATACCCTTTTGCTAAAAATTATGTGATTATATGG